TCTTCCGATCTTGATTTTTTTTACTAAACTCATGACAGAGATTATGTAATCTCTATCACACAGAAAGATAAATAAAAGAGCAATGTAGATGGATCTGGCTTTTCATCTTTCTACTAAAATAAATAATTAGTTATAACTATTATATTATGTATAACTATTATGTTATATATAAATGTCTACTAAAATAAATGATTAGTTACAACAATATAAATAAATATATAGTTAATTATAGCAATTATTTAATATAAATATAATGCAATAAGAAATGTTAAACGTAATCCGTTTTAATCGATTTTAATCGGTTTTAATCGGTTCAATCCGCGCCCAGATTAAAAAGTAATCGGTTTTAATTCCGAATTATAATTGGTTTTAATATTACTTTTGCGGATTATTTCCAATCTGAAATCATTATATTCTAATCCATATTGTTGTCAATTCAAATAAATCCGAATAACCGTATGGATATATAATATCCAAAATAATCCGCCTAAACCGTATATATATTTTTTAACATCTAAGTTTGTTTCAGTTACAAAAACACTGATTCAATAAAATCGATTGTAATCCGTCTAAATCCGATTCCGCTAGGAAAGACAACATTAATCTGAATTTTTAATTCAAATTTTTAATTCGAAATTTAGCGATGGCGCGTATGTAATTTCAATCTGCTTTAATAATATTTAATTTTTAGTAATTGAGTTGATTGTAATCCGGTGTAATTCGAAATTCACCGATTTTGAGGATATAAACTAAATCGGTTTGAATGCAATAAAAATCCAATTTTGTCTGTGATCAGTATAATAGTAATGTGAGATGGGAAGGGAAAATTCGAACGGACCGCCACAGCTTAGCTGTAGGGAGGAAATTCTCTTAATGTCAGGATAATAGGATAGCCTGGGGAAACGGGCTTATCGAGCAAGGTCACACCGAGATAACAAGTCAGGATAACGAGTTAACAAAGTGTTGTAAGTCTCCCTGTGCGTTACTCACAATGTCACACTTAGTGATAAGCAGGTCACTGTTGCAATCTAATATTGCAACGGTGATCCATAATAATTGAGGACGCCGACGCAGGACTTTGGCAACCTCAATACGCGTCCT